GTCCATCCCTCCTCTTAAGGGATCGAGGTATGGAGAAGGAGCCTGGGGGTCACTGACTGGGAGGTTTGTCTGAGGATTCAACCCTCAGAGTTTTCCAGTTTCTGATTTAGGATGGCTCCATGGCAAGAAAGAACTTTAAGGAAGCATTTTGGGCTATAAGAATCCTTTGTCTACCTTCCATCCCTCGTTCCTTTCAACTAGCATTTGACCAAGGTGGCAGGGGGGAGGGATATGGGGGGGGCAGGTTAGGACTCGTAGATGACTGAAGATGAAAAAGTCTTAAATCTTTGTTCATTTGTAAAACAGAACAGTAAAAATCACTGCCAGGTAAGGGCTGTGATGGTCGGTCGGCACTCCGGGTGGAGTTGGGCTCACCATAGAGGTTTAGTGAATGTGGGTGACTTATCACAATGGCAGCAGAAGTGGCAGCCACTCCCCCATAGATTTTTACTCAAAAATAATAAAAAACGTTCTAGTAACTCGAGCTAATTGACAAAGTGATTAGGAGGTGGTGACCTTCCATTCTTCAGTGGTATTGGAGCAGAAGCTTGTCATATTGGGAATGTTCTTGGTGAAATGTCTCTGTGAGACAGATGCTGGACTATATGACCTTTTCTAGGCAAATTAGAAGGCCCAGCGACTTACTAGTATTTTTTTAGATTGTATCTGGTAGTCCTGGGAGGCCCTGACCTCATTCTGGCTAGGATCCTTTATTTCTTTCATTAGGGTGCCTAGGGATAGCCCCACCAGAGTGTCGAGGCCAGTCTGTCCCACTTTTACTGGGGGGCAAAAATATACAGTCATAGGGAAACATAATATTTGTGGGACTCTAATCTTTGGTCTTTTTTCTTTGTCTGATCTTAAAAGCTGAAAGATTCAAAGTGTTGGTCAGGACAGTTGATCTAGAGTCTTCATGGAGGTTAGCAAAAGTGAACACAAGTAAATTTCTAAAACAACCATCAATAACAAATAAATAAGACCCAGAACAAGAAAAAAAGAAAGAAAAAAGAAAAGATTGAAAATTCAGAAATCTGGGTAGAACAATTCAAAGATCTAAGGAATTATGTATAAGGGTTTTTATTATTTTATTTATTTGTAAGTGAGAAAAATCCAAAAATAGAACATAGGAAAACAAAAAAGAGTTTTTTATGTATTGCTCAAAATTATGTATCACTCTTATGCACAATTATTATTGGCTAGGCAAGTCTAATATTAGATTGATGTAATAAAGATTTTTTTAAAAAAAAACCAGAGTCAAAGTTTAGAAAAATAGTCTGTAAGACTCAAATTTTTTGTACTATAGCACACTACTCTGAGCAGGACTCTGTCATGAGGCTGACAGGGTTTGAGCCCTGGCCCACACCTACTAGAAGAAAGACCTTGGGAAAATTGTGTTCACCTCTCTGTGACTTCATTTCTCTACTTCTTAAAAACACAGCTAACGGAGATATGGTTAGGTTAGATAAAATCACTCATGTAGCATTCAGCAAATGTATTAAGAATCTGCTATTTTTTCCTATTAAGCCCTTGTGAAGGCAGGGGTTTGGGATGCCCTTTCAAACCCAGGTACCACCACTCATTAGGTGGTATTGTGCTTAAATCAGAGTTACCATCTAGGAGGGAAAGGTGTACAATGAGGATCCAGGCAAAATCATTTTGCCTATGTTGCCTGGATTGTGTTGTGAATTCATAGCAGAACTCTTTCGGTCTCCAGTTTCTCAAAAGGAAATAGAGCTGGACATGGTGGCACATGCCTGTAATCCCAGTGACTCAAGAGACTGAGGCAGGCAGATCCCAAGTTTGAGGCCAGCTTGAGCAATGTAGAGAGATCCTGTCTCAAAATCATAATAAGAAGGGCTGAGGATATAGTTAGATGGTAAAGCACCTCTGGGTTCAATCCCCAGTACTGAAGAGAAGAAGAAAGAGGAGAAGGAGGAGGAGGAGGAAGGAAGAGGAGGAGGAGGAGAAGGGGGAAGGAGGAGGAGAAGGGGGAAGGAGGAGGAGGAGGAGAAGGGGGAAGGAGGAGGAGGGGAAGAGGAGGAGGAGGAGAAGGGGAAGAGGAGGAGGAGGAGGGGAAAGGGAGGAGGAGGAGGAAGGGAAAGGGAACAGGAGGAGGTAGAGGGGAAGGGGAGTAGGAGGAGGAGGGGAAGGGAGGAGGTAGAGGGGAAGGGAAACAGGAGGAGGAGGTGGAGTGGAAGGGGAGGAGGAGGAGGGGAAGGGAGGAGGAGGAGGAGGGGAAGGGGAAGAGAAGAAGAGGAAGAGGTAAGGGAAGAGGAAGGAGGAGAAGTGGGGATGGGGAGTAGAGGAGGGGGAGGGAGAAGGGGGAGAGGCAGGGGGAGTGGAGGAGGGTGAGCAGAGAGGGAGTGGGAGAAGGAGAAAAAAGGAAATGGAGCAGTTGTTGTTTGTATTAAGTGACAGTGACAGAATACTGTATCACCTTTGTCTTATCTATTTCAGGCTGAAGTGTTATTTCCAGAGACCAGACAAAAGCTTCAGTCTTATTGTTTCTTGGGTAGGTGCTATATGCAAAAGGAGACTGGAAATGCCATCAGATCACACTGTGTTGAAGCTCTTGCTGTTACAGGGCCTCATACACCTGGATGCGAATTACTCATTCCTTTTTCAAAAGTCAATCAGGAGGCTGCATGAGATGGCACACACCTGTAATCCCCATAGCTTAGGAGGCTGAGGCCGGAGGATCCTGATTTCAAAGTCAGCCTCAGCAACTGCGAGGTGCTAAGCAACTCAGTGAAAGCAACTCAATGAGACCCTGTCTCAAAAAAAAAAAAAAATTACAAAACAGGGCTGGGATGTAGCTCAGTGGTTGAGTGCCCCTGAGTTCAATCCCCAGTACTGGGAAAAAACAAACAAGTCAATCAGGAGCTGGGGTTGTGGCTCAGTGGTTGAGGGCTTATCTCATTTGTATGAGGCACTGATTTTAATTCTCAGCACCACATAAAAGTAAATGAAATAAAGGTATTGTGTCCATCTACAGCCAAAATATAAAAAAGAAGTCAATCAGAATTGAAGAAGTATGCTAGTATTATGAATATCAACAGAATTATTTTTCAACATGCAAAAGTTCCTGAAACTGTTGTCCAGATTTATCCTTATAAACTACAACTTATATTAATTTGTAACAATTTCTAAATATCCGTAGGTTTTCATTTTTAGAATGTTTAGCTGTTTTCCCCACACTGATGGGACAGTGATTTCTTATGATCTTCTTTTTTCCCTCTCTCTTATGTTCTTGAGAACTATTAATAGTAGAGATAAAAGCTCAGATTGAACAATTTTCTTAGAAGCTTCATGGAAGTTTTCCTCATTAAATATTGGGCTGAGTTGTCCTCAGACATTATGAAATTTCTGGAGAGGTTTGAATGGAAGAGATCCTCTTCAGCGAGGGGATTTAGACACATCTTGCTGTAGGCACAGACTAAATTATTCCTGATACTGTCTTTATTCTGTGACCACCAGGCTCAGGATGACTTTTCATGGTGGCAGGCTCTGTCACAGTGTCTGTGAACTAACAGGTTAAGGGAAATCACTATGGCAACTCTGAGCAGTCTCTAAGGGGAGGCTGATCACAGAGCCCGAGCTAGGGAGGAAACAAAGGCTTAAAGGAAGTTATTAAAATTGACTGACATTGATAGCACAACTAAAGCAATTGGCAAGGTGTGTCTTATTGGTAGATTGCCCCTTAGTTAGAATATGCTGATTTCTACATTCATTCAACAAATCTTCATTGAATGCTGGGCTGCATGTTAGTAATGGGGCAGGTCAGGGTATAAAAGATAAGCAAACCATCATGGTTTCTGATTTCATAGAGCTCACAGTCTGATATGGGAGACCAATACTGACTAACTCACCACACAAATACGTAACTACAGACTCTGATAAATGTCCTGAAATAAATTACAGGGCATGGTGAGGTGTCCAAAATGGAAACCTAGTTGGGATGAAAATATGGTGGTCAGATTTGAAACTGTGGGCTTCTCTGAGGAGCTCTGAGGACACAGAAACTAGACAACCAGGAACTTTTCAGGAAGGAGCATGGGCAAAGGTCTAAGGTGTCAAAGTGAAGAGGATGGTGGCCCAAAAGTGGGGCAATGAGGCTTGTTGGGGCAACATGGTTTATGTCATAAATGTTAGTCTTTAGTCCAAGTATAGTGAGAATGCGTTGAAGTGTTTAAGAAAGTGGTGGTGGGGAGAGGAATAGAAGATTTGATTTTAATTTTGAATAATTATGACTGTAGTGAGAGGAAATTATCAAAGGTGCACCAGGACAAACATGGCTATAGCTGATACAACAGATGACATGGTGACAGCTTGAACAGGTGATTACGCCGGGGATGAAGAGAAGTAGATGGACCTGAGATCTCTTCAGGAGATAAAATTAGCAGTAGAGTAGTTGGTGCTGGGTTGGGGAAAGGATATGTGGAGTGGGGGAGATAGAAACTTCAGATTTGAATATATTGTGAATGTCTAGGTGGAGCTAGAGTGGACACAGTGGGATTCATAAATCAGATAAGAAGGAAGGTTTGGAAAATTCTCCTGGTCCCTCTAAACTAAGTGACAAAGGGTACTCTAAGCTGGATGTGGCAGAAAACATCGCAATTCATGTTGGCCATGAACTCTGGGAGAACCTCCTCTAAAGCATCCTGAGTATTGGCCTCAGTCTTCGATTTGTATTAAGCTGTATTATTATATTAAGAAGAAAAAGTTCATATCTATCTTATTCCTTATTGTAGACCAGTATGCCCAGTCCATAATATGTTTCCTCAAATATTTACAGAAAAAATTAAAGAGTTATTTCCCCCAAAAGCACAGAGAAGAAGATATGAGGGTGAGATGGAGAGAAGTCTAGCAACCCACATCTGATGCCCTCCTGTGACCTTCCCCTGCTTCCTCCCTCCCTCCCAGGTCTGTGGTTTTGTTGAGACTTCTCTACCCTGAAACACCTCACCTTCTCCTTTAGTTTACAGACCTTTTAAAGTTGCTTGAGTGAATATATTTGGCTTTATTTTGAGTGATATCATGTTTGGTGACACTTGTTTTAAGGAGAGAAGTTTTTGGTGGTTGAAACAAGGAGTTATCAAATTGTAACTATTAGAAGAAATGAGAAAGAACTCAATAGGCAAAAGAAAGGAACAACACAAATTAGCTTAGCCCAACAGTGTGGCAGGAAGTAGAGGAGGTTCCTTCACATTCTTAAATTCCTGTTAACTCTGGGAGGTCTGGAAAGTCAGGGAACAGCATGTCACAAATTTTAAGGCACTGAAGTGAAGCCAAGAGCTAGGAATTCAAGATCAGAAGAAAGGGCCATTGAAAACAATATTGGTGAACTTCAGCTCCATGGATAGGTGGTGAGGTGGTTAACTGAAACCAGGAGAAATCAGAAATGTATAGATGAAGTGTCTCTGAGCAAGAACCAAGCTGGGGATGACTTCACAGGTAGATGGTAATGAGAGTTCAGCCAACTTTGAGAATTCTCTCATTCTTGCTGTGATATTTTTCTTTTATGCAAAAAGGATGAGCCATCTTCTCCTCAAAATTATGACATATATGTTCAGGTGGACTGACACCAATTGGTAATTGTATTTTTCAGTAGTTACTATGTTGTAAACTTAAAAAAGGAAGAAATTATCACATGTGTAAATGTTTCTAGAAAGGTGAATGAAATGAATAGAATCACTGATACCTTCAAATGGTCATGTTAAAGCAGATGTTAAATATTTTCTTTATAATAAGCATTTGCACGTTTTCCTGGCCCTTTCACACCATATTATTCTACAACAAATGTTGAATTCTGCCACTCCAGTCCAGGCTTCTTCATGTAAACATTCAACAAGTGGTACTGGGAATGAAATCTGGGAAACATCTGTTTAGGGAACAATTTCTTCTGGGTGTGGTGCTACCCATAATCAACCCAACTTAGAACCATAGATATAGCAAGATGCTATCATCACTGTAGGCTGAAAAGCCTTTCACTTTAGTTCTGTCTTCTTGGGCTTCAGAGATGCCTAAAAGGCAGGACTTCCAACCACCTCAAGTGTAAGTTGTACCAGATATTCTGGTTCTTGTTATTTTGACAATTACCAGAATAAACATGAATATCCTATATTTTTCTCCTCTGGAGTGGTTGTTTACTTTGCAATCCCCACTTCCACCAGAAAGCTGTGTGCATCAATGATTACAGTGGCCTTCAGTAGGCTATCCATCCTTTATGTCTCCTTCTTGAACAGGAAGAGTTATCCTGCAATCACCCACTCTACATATTCATTTTTTTGCAGCTTCTTATTTCCTTTCCTCTCTTTTTCATCTTTTCTACTTGCGGGTCTACCTACTGCTTTTCTGTTGCCCTTTACTTATACCAATGTCACATAATGCTTTCTCTCTCCCCCTTTCTGGTTCCCATCCAACCTTATGAGAGCTGAATTCCAGTCCTTCGGTCTTATTTTCAGCAAATAACAGAACACTTTTAACCCACTTATGAAAGCATTCTGGTTACCTTAGTATTGATAGGAGATAGTACTTGACATTCAGGATTATTCAATAAGCATGGGGAAGGATTATTCAATATTCAATAAGGTATACATCATTTGGAGGAAGTCTTCCAATTTCTCTTATATTCTACCCAGCAGGCAAAGCCTCAGGACTGTTTTTGCCTATGTGATGTGCCATCTCTATCCTTCTTGGTAAAGAAGGCTTGAGAAGGAACCCTGAGACACTACTGATGATGGTAAGACTCCTTCTTTTCTATAAACAAGCCTGGTCTAAATGAGTCCAGGTTGAATTAGGTAAGGAACAGGATTGAAAAGTAGATGTGTCCTTGAATTTGGCTAATCTCATAGCTGGGGGACAGGTATCTGTGATCAGCTGAGTCACACGGCTTTGGGATTAGCCAGCTGTACTTTCTCTTTCAACAATAAAAAGTCTTGAAAAACTGCTGGCATGTGAGAAAGAGGGATCCAAAAAGTCTTGGCATCTTTTCCAGCAGCATAGCGAGTCTTTGGAAAGAGACTTGTCAGAGCATGGTCCATGCACTCTACCACCAGAGAGAGGTCCAAATTCACCCAGGTTGTAGTGCTTTTCAGCTTATCTAGACCTATAAAAAGAGACAAAAGCACACTTATTCTTCAGAAGAGGAAGAGCAGAGTGGGAGGCTAGGGGACAAGGTGGAGGTTGTATGTGAGGGAATTTATTTTGAATTTATTATTACAATTGAGACTCACTCTGATTGTTTTCTACTTAGTCCTCAGAAAAGGATGCTACAGTGCTTTCTTTATATCAGGGCTCTCTAAATAGGGCAGACAGCAGAATTGCTTGGAGAGCTTACAAATATTCAGATTTCTGAGTTCCTGAGTCAGTAGGTACTTGCATTTCAAACAAATCTCCAAGGGGTGCTAATGTTGCTAGTCCAAGGACTGAACTTTGAAGACTACTGCTCTAAAGCAATGGGGAAAGATACTATATATCATGAAGCTCCTGACCCTAAGAAGCCATGGGTTTGATTATTAATTTGTTTTAAGGGAGTGCTGTGTTTATAGGAAATGTAGGTGTCCACATATGCTTGGGCACACGTGTTATGAGAGAGTGCACTCACATGATTCCCCAATCTATAATTCTATGTACAAAGAGCAATTCATTCCATAAATGTCCCTAATCAGGAAGCTCAAGTATCATGGTTCTCAGGCAAGTGAAGTACTTGTGTGATGGGCTAAGACGTCTTTAGAGAGACAGGTATTTGATGAGGGCTTGCTAATGGTTTGGAGCCTCAGGCTTTCATTGTGAAGAGTGAATATTTACATGCAGAGAAATTAAATTGGATTCTTCTCTCATACAATATAAAAAAGCAACTCAAATTGGATTAAAGAGTTAGATGTACCACCTGAAGCTGAAAAATTACTAGAAGAAAATATGGGGAAAAAAGCTTCTCGTCTTTGGTCTGGGCAAAGATTTTTTTTAGACATGACCCCCAAAACATAGATAACCATGCAAAAATATAGTTGGAATTACATCAAATGAAAAAATCTTCCTAACAGCAAAGATAACAGTTAAAACAATGAAGAGACAACTTATGGAATGGGAAATTTACTTGCAAACCATACATCTGATAAGGGAATAATATCCAAAATATAAAAGGAACTAAAAAACCTCAATAGCAAGAAAATAAATAACCTTATTTACAAAATGGAAAAGGAGCCAGGCACAATGGCACATGCCTATAATCCCAGGGACTTAGCAGGTCGAGGCAGAAAGATTGCAAGTTCAAAGTTAGCCTCAGCAACTTAGCAAGATCCTGTCTCAAAATAATAAAAAAAAGGGCTGGGGATGTAGCTCAGTAGTGGAGAACCTGTGGGTTCTATCCATAGCACTGCAAAATAAAATAAAATAAAATTTAGAATAAATAAATAAATAAATGGACAGGATCTAAATAGACATTTCTCAAAAGAAGACATACAAATGGCCAACAGGCATGTGAAAAAAAATATGACCGTATCACTAGTCATCAGATAAATATAAATTCAAACCATAATGACATATCATACCTGTTACAATGACTATTATGAAAAGACAAGAGATAACAAACATTGATGAAAGTGTGGAGAAAGGGGAACTCTTGCACATTGTTGGGGAAATGTAACTTAGTATAGTCATTATGGAAAACAGTATGGAGGTTTCTCAAAGAATTCTAAGTACGATATGATTCTCATATGCTTTTAAAACATACCCGAGTTGTCTTCTCAAGGGAAAATTTATGAATTTAGATTTTTCTTATAACTTTAGTGCCAACTAAATACAAATTGTTTAAAGAATCCAATAAGTCTTAAATTAATGATTATTTGAGATTCCTACCACCTTAGCCAGGAAAATGAAGAAAATTAGCTTTAAATGTATGGCCTATTTTGGGTCTGTGGATATGGTCGATGTCTAGGTCCAGACTTGGAAAAACTTAAAAATAACCAGCATAAAACTGGGCTAATGCTTTTTGATATATCTTGGTATAGAAGATTTAAATGTTTCCAACACAAAGAAATGATAGATATTGGAAATAATCAGTATACTAATTACCCTGATCTGATCATTTCACTTTGTATACATGTACTGAAATATCACATGGTGCCTCATAAATATGTATCAATTATAATGTATCAATTAAAAAAAGATAGCTTGAAATGGAATTTGGTGATATACTCATAGGCATTAAAAAGTATAAGTGTCCATTTCAAACATGGAAAGGCTTTTAAATGAGGGATTTTTTATCTGAAGTATTAAATCTGAAGGATTAAGTTTATTCTTACACCGAACCTGCATAGAAACTTGGGTCAGTATGTGAGAAATAGAGCCTTTAATGTCTTTGAATCAAAACAATTAGATTCAAAACAACTTTGACTCAAACTGTGAGGTTTGTCAACTAAACATTATATATATATATATATATATATACATGTATTTATATATATGTATGTATGTGTATATATATATATATATATACACACATCCATACACACACACATATATATATATCAGACATATACATATATTTTATGGAATACATACATATTTACCATTATTTATTTATTTTTTAATTTTAATTTTTTTAACTTTGTAGTGCTGGGAATTGAACCCAGTGGTTTTCTATTACATATATATATATATATATATATATATATATGATATATATTTACATATATAATATATATTTATATATTTATAATTCATTATATTTATATAGCTTTGATATATAATTTATATATTTTCATATATATGTGATATATATGATAGATAAATATGATATATATGAAAAATATATAAATTATATATCAAGACTATATATAAAAATATATAACTTATATATAAAATATATAAATATATGTAAATTATATAGTAAGAAAAATATATAAATTACATATCAAGAAAAATATATAAACTATATATCAAGACTATATATATATATATATATATATATATATATATATAGATATAGAGAGTGTGTGTGTGTGTGTGTGTGCATGTGCTGTGGAGGGGTGGGGATCTGGGGGAGTCAGTCATGTTAAAAACTTCTCCAGGTGGATCTGACTTGGCTCTGGCAGGATCACAGTTTGGAGGGATAGAGTGATACATGGAGACAGGAATCTGTTGAACTTGAAGCAGGAGCTCAGGAATAGCAAGCAAATCTTAACAGGGAGTCTGAGGCGGAAGGGGAATACTGATACAGGAAATACGATCCAATTCCTTAGTTTCTTGTTCACACCGTATAGCAGTGTCCAAAAATACATGGCAGAGTGGGGCTGGCTGGGTTCAAATCTAGCTTTTCCACTTACAAGCTGTGCAATTTTAGGTAAGTTACTTCTCTATGCCTCTATTTCCAAAAACTAGGGGGGGAAAAAAACCTGATAGTATCTACTTCATCAAGTTTGTTTGGGGATTATAAATGACAGAGTCCATGTAAAGCACTTAGAATGGTTACAGAGTAGGTAGTAAATGTTTACTGTGTTAGTCATTATTACATAATCTTTATTATTATTCTTCCTCCTTGACTCAGTCTTTTGACTTCTGTTACCTTTCCTTCCATTTCCTCCTTTATGTGTTCCTGCTCCATAAAACTTCCACCCAAATAATTCCTTCCTGTTTTTCAGGCCTGACTCAAACCTGATCTTTCCCAAGAAACGCTCTTTTCCTGGTCTGAACTCCGTGAGCAACTAGAGGCCACACCATTTTGCACCTCTTCTGCGCCTCGGGGTCACATCTAAGGAGGACCAATTTTCCTGTGTGCTGTAGAGCCTCATTTGATTACTTTTTATTGTCAACTAGATGCTAAGCTAGTTGGGGGTCAGAGTCTGAACCTTCCTTGAACAACGCTGTGTGAGTGGTGTTTAACAGAAGGGGAGGTGTGTGCAGAGATGAAGATCATGGGTTGTGGGGCCAGCCTGCCTAGTCTTGGTATGACCAGGAGGCACTGCCTGGCTCTGGGGAGGACGCTCCGCCTTTCCAAGCCTCTGCTTACTATTCTAGCAGCTTTTCTGAGGAGTAAATGATATAATTCATTAGGCACTTATAGTGCCTGGCATTTAGCAATTGCTCAGTTAATGTTCATTGATCCTCAGAGAAGTAGAGAGGACAGGAATGAACAGAGATCCTGATCCGTATTTAAGATCCCTGTTGGTGTGTTACTGTGGGAACCTTGGTTTTCCACTTGTGTTTGAGCCTCCTTCAGGCTGCCTAAGACAACGAATCCCAGAGGACACTGGCTCACCCAGAAACTCACTTTTTTCAATGTAACCTTCTCCATATTGTTCTTTGATGTCTGGAGATAGATGTTTCCAAATGGCAAGCTTTTTTTCAGTTGCCTTTATTGGATCTGACAATTCTGTTTTGAAGAATCCTGGTTCAATACATGAAACGTGCACGCCAAAAACTTTCATATCCCGTCTGTGAAAATAACAGGTGAAAATGTTTTTTTTTATTTTATTGTTATTTAAAAAAATATTTGTTGTTTCTCTCTCTCTCTCTCTCTCTCTCTCTCTCTCTCTCTCTCTCTCTTTCCTAGTGCCAAGGACTGAACCCAAGGCCTCTCACATACTAGGCAAGCACTCTACCACCATCTTTAGCCCTTATTTTATATTATTATTATATTTTTAAGTGTTTAATCCAAATCTATTTGGGGAATGTATTCTATATGAGTGACTATTTTCTCATGCATCTTTTCATAGAATATCAGAACTGGGTGTACTGGAAAGAAGTATTTCCATTCTACCCTCTCATTTCAAATAAGGAAACTGAAGCTCATGGTGAAGGGGGAGCTGGTCAATGGCAAAAGAGGAAAGGGATCTGGGTGGGACCCCTCAGCCCCACATCCGTCCAGTGTTCCTCTCCTGAAGCCGTACCCTCCTCATTAAATTGATGAGCTCTTGGTTAAGACTGTTCCCTTTCCACACTCAAAATACCTTCTGGGAAAATGGACTGATGACTGGCCTGGATGGACAAGTTTACCTCCATCTTAGGAATGTGATAGATGGCAGCACAAAAGTAAAGGACCCAAAGTGATGATCCCTGCTGTGCCCACCTGAGCCCTCTGCTGCTGAGCAAGGTCTTTCATCCCATCACCACAGAAAACCAGAAGTCTGCTCATGTACTGGACATCAAGGTTTTAGAGGAATCATAGCAACCCTCCCTCCCTCCTTCCCTCCATTTCTTCTCTCTATTTCTTCCTTCCTTCCTTTATTCTTTCTATTGTTTCAACAGATGGGATCTTGTCCAGGCTGGCCCTGAACTCTTGGGTTTAAAAGTAGCTGGGACTACAGGTGCATGCCATCACACCTGGTTCATCCCTTCTAAAGTAAAACAATGTATTGCAAACCAGTGCATGAATAATCATTTCCTAAATTTGATATGTATATGTTTCTACCAGAAATATATAACGAGTTTTACAGAAATCCTCACCAAAGGTTTCTTAAAAGCTCTCTTTGTGAACTTAAAATGTGATTTAATTTATTGTAGATTCTATCTTCTAGCAATGTAACTATTGTAAAGTTTGAAATATATTTTGCTAAAAATGCACACTACTTTGACCTTGGATGATCTAGAAAGATATATTACTTACATTTAAGTGGAAAAGTTTATTTTCCATTTCATTGTATTTATTCACCTGTTGTCTGATCTCCATCAGATCATGGAAGCAGCAGTTCCAAGATAGGATTTGGGAAGGCTTATCTCCCTACGCACTCATGAAAATAGCATACAATTTAGGGTTATGCCACCCAACTAAGCTTACTAGGTAAGTAAGATCAGTATGATATTACTAATGCTTGCAGGGAAAATAAGGCTCCAGAACGCCCCAATCCTCTTTCAATTGTGCTGTTGCCCCTAAGCCCTACTATGTTATAGACATTCTGGAACTGCTGTGGCCCACAGGCATAATATCAAATACTAGTTCTAGGACTCATAAAGAAATAAACACCTGTGATTGATTGTTTTCAGGCAAAAATATAGCTGCATTGAAAATTCCAAGAACATTTCAGTTGAAACATCTTTTTAAAAGTAAGGAAATAACTAAATATACTAAAATTTTATGATCCTGCTACTTGCAAAGTGGAACCAAAGGTCAACCAAGGAGAGTAACAGGTTCTCTGTGATCTTGCTGCTCCCAGTACGATCCCTGAGCCATGGCAGTACTTGAGAGCTTCTTAGAAAAGCACAATCTCAGGCCCCCATCCCAGACCCGTTCAATCAAAATCTGCATCTTAATAAGATCCCCAAGTGATTCAAATTCACATGAATGTTTTGGAGGAATTGCTCCAACGTTATTGTGTTTATTTCCTGGGAGAGTCACACTTGGCAATCAGATGTGATGGCAAAATGGAGTCGTTCTATCTTTAGTAATCTCGACAGATCTCTGAGCTCCATGGTATAGATCATGAACTCTAACACATTTCTTCAACAGATAATCGAATAAGCAAATGGATGAATTGATGGAAAGATAATATCTAATTTTAGATTTGATATTTTCTCTTATCTATTGGCACCATTTGGTTAAATATCATCCAACTGGTTTTCCAGTGGCTTTCTCCATCCTGCCAGCACCATGTCCTGAGAGGTGGACCTGCATCAGCTATGCATACTCTGGCTCCCAGCAGGCACAGTGGATTAGAAGTGTGAGTGGGAGATCAGAGGCAAGAGGAGGCGAGGTAAGGCTAGTGGTACCAATACTGGTAATACCATCCCTTAATGGAAGCTGACAACCTCTGAGTCTCCAGGTTCTAAAAACTTCCCTGTCTCATTGTCCCTACAATCCTATGGATAGAAATGCCTCTGTTGTCATCAGCCTGCAGGTACTACGCTATTGTCTGGGATTTTTCTACATGCTTTTCATATGTTTGTGAATAGTTCCTTAAACAAACTCTGTTCCTTTGACTCTATATTAATATGCCTCCGTTCTCTGCCAGAACCTTGACTGAAAGAACTACTTGCACTTTAGGGCTTTGAACTGATAATGAAAGGTTCTGGGTCCAGGTAGGATGGATTAAGCACACTCCTCCATGTTTCTCCTACTGAATGCTGCTACAAAGCTTGGGTAGGGTGCATTGAGTAGCCATTTAAGAACTGATACTTTTCTTCAGAAGGTTTAAGTAAGATGGTACTGTTGTGTCTGTAACATACAGTAAGAGCAATGGAGAGAGCTATACTGATTTATGCTTTGTCTAATTTCCTATTTGATAAACTGACCTCCTGAGTATAAATTCACCATCACAATCAATATCATGCATTAATGTAAGAAGTAAAAAAAAATCAAATCTCAGTTCTACCACTTATTTAGTTGGATGACCTTGGGCAAGTTAGCTAATATCTCTGAGTTTCAGTGGTACTGTCTATAAAGTGGAAATAATTTAAAGTACTAAGTAGAGTGTCTGGTCCATACTAAGCATTGAATGAATGTTACCAGGTATTATTTCCTAGTAAGCCAATTAGTTTGCTTTTACCTTAAGCAGTCATTGAAGCCTTCCACTCCATATTTGGATGGAGTATAGCCCCCTCCACCAAATGCAAGCCGACCTCCAATGCTGGAGACGTTGACAATCCTCCCTCTAGCTTTTTTGAGCAAGGGAAGCATATTTAAAGTCACATCGATGAGTCCAAACAGGTTCACTTCAATAGGTTCTCTGTAGTCTTCCACTGTCAGCCAGTCGGTGGGAGCCAGTACACCAAGAACACCAGCATTGTTGATCAGACCCCAGAGACCTAGAGCCCAGAGGGAAGAAAGGAGATGTGGTAGAAGGTGGCGTTCATATGGAGTCTTGGATGGAAATGCAGCCTCTGTTTTACACAATAGTGCCATTTCCTCCTTGTAGATATATTGCTGCTGTGAAATATTTTGCAGTTTATAGAAGTGATAGCAGAGAGAGTGGGAGAATAAATTCAAATAATTAAAGTTCTTTTACTGAAATTCAGTTTCAGTGTTACTCTATTTCCGATTCTGAATGTCAAATAATGGTACTTTTTGAGACTTTCTGCATTTTCATCTCATATGTAGAGTAAATAGGACTATTTCCCCCACCCCACCTCCCGTCTTGCTAGATGGCAAAGTCAGAGAATATTTATAAAATGTTCTATATGGAGGGAGTGAAATCAATTCACTTCATGTTTATTTTTGGTGAAAAAAAAATCTAATCACTCACTGGGCTTGTTTTATGATGGGAAACATTTAATATTGCTAAAGGTATTTGGAATTCAAGCATTAAAAATTGTCTGGAGCCTTATCAAATCATAATGTTTATACTTCAGAATCTCAGGTATATGATGAAGATATAATTGAGAAAAATACATACATTTGTTTTTTTTTCTTTGTAGACCCCAATATCTTATTCCATGAGAATATTTCAAATGCTGGACAAAGCTGATTAAAACCTTATAGTTTAGAAAGCAGCCATCTTCCCCCCAAAACAACTGCCAAATGTTTTCTCTGATATAAGGAGGCTGACTCATAGTGGGGTCGGGAGAGGGAGCATGGGAGGAATAGATGAACTCTAGTTAGGGAAGAGAGGTGGGAGGGAAAAGGAGGGGGGCAGGGGATTAGCAAGGATGGTGGAATGTGATGGACATTATTATCCAAAGTACATGTATGAAGACAAGAATTGGGTGTCAACATACCTTATATACAAACAGAGATATGAAAAATTGTGGTATATTTGTGTAGTAAGAATTGTAATGCAAAAAAAGTACATGTATGAAGACATGAATTGGAGTGAACATACTTTATATACAAAGATAAGAAAAATTGTGGTATATTTGTGTAATAAAAATTGTAATGCAAAACCAAAACAAAACAAAATGCATGTATAAAGGCACAAATTGGCGTGAACATACTTTATTTACAAAGATGAAAAATTGTACTCTATATGTGTAATAAGGATTGTAATGCATTCTGCTGTTGTGTATTTAAAAATATAAAATCAATAAAACTAAAAAAAAAAAAAAGCAGCCATCTTAGCAGAATCTACTTACATGTAGAATGAGTGTCCAAGGGCTCAGTACTCCACCAGGACTATGTAAGATTCTAACTCATGTTCTCAGGCCCTTTCCTACCTCACCCACTGAAAATGTGTGAACTCTGGAGCATTTTGTAGTGAAAAGTGGGTGTCAGCTATTCGAAGGATGAATTGGGTCTGCTCCCATATTCTCCTGTAGATTTCACTCCAGTCCCTTTGCTATGTATATGGATGGAGTAAAACTTCATTGCAGAATACCAGGGAAAATCAGTACCTTCATCTCTGTTCTAAATTGACCCACGGGACAAAAGACTGAGCGTAATTTGGTTGGTGTCTCTCACCTTTTTCCCCAACATGGTTCTTCACCCACTGGGCAGTCCTCTTGACATTCTCGGGGTCAGTTACATCCAGAAGCACTGTATGAAGTCTCTCTGAGGTTTCTGCCTTCAAAGCTGTTGATCCTGATTCAGTCAGACAGGCAGCAATTACACGAAATCCTTTTTTATCAAAAGTTCTGGCTGCCAAGTTTCCAAAACCCGAGTCGCACCCAGTGATGAAAATATACTTATCGGTGATGTCTGCAATCTTCAGTTGTCCTTTATAATTCCATAGAAAAGCACAGAGGATTAGGAGGGCTAGCACCCCAAAAAGCATTTTTTCCTTTCTTGTATAACAAAAGAGGATGTCTCCTGAGGGTTCAAAATTAGAAAGAAAATTCAAATTAGAACCACCGAAGTATCATAACCCAGGCTTGATGAACTGGAGATATTTTAGTTCACTTGAATAGGTAAATAGAAAGTTAAAAAATAATACTTCTTATTTGGTTGTTTGTTGGGAAGATGGCCATTTAAAGAATAAATTGCTTCTCAAAGGTAGTACAAAAACTATCCAAGTAGAATTCAGAGAAATTAAATGGGAGACAGAAAGGGACACTCCCTGGCAAAGCTGACACAGGTCAGAGGTAGATGTGGTTGACTGGAGTTGTGTGGGACAGTGACTTTAATTTGACTTGTGAACTCATCCATCAGAAAGATAGATTCTTACCGTAAAACCTTAATTATAGTCATTTCGTGAAATTCAAGCAAAACAGGGTCAAATCTATTAGAAATTATAGTTCAGTCTTACTTGTTCTAGTAGACTCCTAATTTTTAGACCATCAGGAAAATAAGAGCATTTTACTGTTGTCACTAAGAAAACACTCTCAACGTGGCTTCCATTTTCTTATTTTAAATAGGTTCATGTTAGCCTTCAACTCAGCTTTGAGAGTATTAGAGCTCAATGCTGAGAATGTTAATGTGGCAGAAGAGGGAGATGAATAGGAAGAGATTGGGAGAGAACTGTTGGCCCATGTACAGTATTCCAACCCACTATTCCAAATACTCAGATTTCGTCCTCTTTGGACACCAACCTGCTATGAGAAACAAAACAAAACAAATCAAAAAACCCCTCACATATACAGAAGACAAAGTGAAACAAATAAGTGTTGTAAAACCAAGGCTTTGACCATAAGTGGCATAAAACCATTGGGGAAAATAATTTTGTCAGGGCTGGGAGCAGACGGGGAGGCCTACCATCAAACAAGAGGAGACTGCCCTTCCCTTTCCTCAGAAGCCTGTGGTGGCGTGTCCCCTCAGCTTATGCCAACTCTTACCATGGACAGTGGTGGCTGGGGAAGAGTCAGAGGAGGAAGTGGCCAACAGTTAGAGGGCAGGCTTCCCTTGCTGCCTCAGGTCTGAGTGTAGCATGGAGGCCCAGCCGTCCCAATGCACAGCCATGAGATAGCCCTAGGGAAGGAGATCACCCATGCCCACCACACAGACACACCTGTATAGGCTCCTTACCCTGGGGAGGGAAGAGGAGCCACAGGAAGTAGGGGAAGACCTTATTTCTTCCCCAATGACCAAGAAAGTTTCCTACTATTTCCAGGCAGTATCTTTGCCCCTGATTTAGACCCTCCCTTAGAATCTAGAGGACCCTGAGTGCCTCAAAGAGAACAATCAATAAGCTTGAGTTGAAGTTCAGACCTTGTAGATGCTTCTGGAATCATGGCTGTTCATGGACACTGTGCTCAGAAAGTAGCTGTGGAGCCAAGCAGTTTTATAAATGTTGGACATTGTTTTCTTACAATATTTTCTGGTTTTTCCTTTGAACCCTTTAAAATATTTTCTCTGCATATAAAATCAACTTATATTCATTGTGAAAAAAAAGTGCAGAAAAAAATAAGATAGTAATAGTTATCACGTTTGACTCTTAATATTTTGGTGCATTTAACTCCAGTTTATTTTCTATATATGTATTTACTGTATATGTAAAAATTCACTCTTCCTAATGAGAAATATAATAATTATACATATAGATAGAATTTCATCACACACAACACACACACACTATATCTATATATCTATATATCTATATATATATCTATATATATCTATATCTATATCTATCTATCTATCTATCTATCTATATATATATATATATATCACTGTATAAGAAACACAGTATTTCAGATTAAAAAAACTCCATGTAAAAATATATATTTACTTCTTAAGGAGAGTTTGAACACTCTGTTTTCAGTTTTTGTCCTAACAGAGTTAGAGCTTAAAAAAGAGAAAGTTGAAAGAATTGCTCTTTGAAAAATATTAAGCCAGAGAAACACATTAAAAATATGTTAGGTTTGAGGAAAACAGTTGATTCTTGAGGTACAGCTGTGAGGAAGGCAGGTTCTGTTCCTGGGCATGAGGGTGGATTATGAGCCTTAAGGCCTTGAATTCAGGTGGATGGATGACTTGGGCATCTGTGAAAGCTTCTTAGGCAAACAGCTTTCACAGACCCTTGAGAGGGTCATGGATAGAACTGAGGGGTCTGTCCACTTGGATGGCACAAGATTCCATTTTACTTTCTCTACACTGTGCCTGAAATTTAGCACACCTTTGAATTATGAAAGTAACAACAAACCACAGCATTATTTGTAGTACCTGTGACTTTGTTACAGTAGAAATCACAAATATCTTTATGTCACATTGCTATTATTAGAGTTATCTCAAAATATGGCTTCTGCTCATCACCACTTCAAAATTATGGTGAACAACATTTCTTCTACTATTATACTGTTACTTCATGTGTTAATTAAAGAAAAAATTTAATCATTTTGGGTGCATTTCAGTATAGTAGATTCCTTTGTAGCTCTATGCATTTTGCTTCATGTATTAACAATTATTCACACTTAAAAGGTAGCTGTGGTGAGGTAAACCCACATAAATATAGCTATCTCACACTAGACAAAGGTGCCATAAACATACATTGGAGAAATGTATGTGGACATAGTGTTGGGAAAACTGGAAATCCATATGAAACAAAATGAAATTAGACCCCTGTCTCTCACCCTGCACAAAACTCAACTCAAAGTGGATTAAGGACCTAGCTAGGCATTAGACCAGAAACCCCATGCCTACTAGAAGAAAAAGAAATCCCAAATCTCTATGATGTTAGCTTAGGAATTGACTTCCTCAACAAGAAGTAAAGCACAAGAAGTAAAATCAAGGATCAATAAATTGGATGGTATCAAACTAAAAAGCTGCTTCAAAGCAAAGGAAAACAACAAGAATGTGAAGAGAGAGCACAAAGAGAAAATCTTTGCCACCTGCACCTTGGATACAGCATTAATCTCCAAGGTATATAAAGAACTCTGAAAGCTTAATTCCAAAAAATCAAATAACCCAATCAATGAATTGGGAAAGAAATTGAACAGGCACTTCACAGAAGAAGAAATACAAATGGTCAACAAATATATGAAAAAATGTTCAACATCTCTAGCAATTAGAGAAATACCAATTAAAACTTCACTGAGATTTCATCTCACTCCAGTCAGAATTACAATTATCAAGAATACAAATAACAATAAATGTTGGGATGTGGGGAAAAAGGTACACTCATACATTGCTGGTGGGACTGCAAATTGGTGCAACCACTCTGGAAAACAGTATGACGATTCCTCAGAAAACTTGGACCACCATTTGACCCAGTTATCTCACTCCTTGACATATACCCAAAGGACTCAAAATCAGCATAATATAGGGACATGTCCACATCAATGTTTATAGTAGCTCAATTCACAGTAGCTAATCTATGGAACCAATCTAGTCCTTCAACAGATGAATGAATAAAGAAACCATGGTATATATACACCATAGAATATTACTGAGCTATAAAGAAGAATAAAATTATGGCATTTACTAGTAAATGGATGGAACTGGAGACTATCATGCTAAGTGAAATAAACCAATTCCCAAAAAACTAAAGCCGAATGTTCTCTCTGATAGGTGGATGCTAACACACAATAAGGGGGTCTGGGAGGGAAGAATAGAAGTTCATTGGATTAGACAAAGGGGAATGAAGGGAAGGAAAGGGGGATAAAAATAGGAAAGACAGTAGAATGAATCAGACATAACTTTCCTATGTTCACATATATGAATACACGACCAGTGTAACTCCATATCATGTACAACCACAAGAATGGGATCCTAATTAGAATAAGTCATATTCTATGTATGTATAATATGTCAAAATACATTCTACTGTTATGTATATCTAAAAAACCAAATAATAAAGGTAGCTGTGATAATGACAATCACATAAATCCAAATTTCCTAGACCACACTCCATTGTGTGTGTATACTTACATTTACAATTTAACAGGAACAAATTATATCCCATAAAGTCCATGCCTTTACCATAACTTGAAAACAGACAATCCTGAAATTTAAAATTGCTGGATTGAGAAAGTAGGTAAATATATAATGGATAATGGAGGCCAGGTTTCATATTGTCAGAAAGAGGAGCTGCAAATGTGGAAAGGGAGAGGCTGGAATGGACCTGGTGGAATTGGATTAGAGTTGGAAGACTCAGTAAGAACTCATGGCTTTTGATATGAGTCCGTAGATACTGAAATAGATAAATAGCTTTCAAGGTCTACCTGATGAACTATAAGTAATGAAACTCTACTAGCAACAAACCAACCAAGGGCTCTGGCCCTGAGATTTAAGTATTATATTCATAATTGTTGGAGAAGCTAATATCAGGGTTGGGCTGGAAAAGTACAAAATGAACCCAGAATATCTCATGCCAGAAAGTGAAAAAGTGCTCAAAGAATGTTGAACGTATCAAAAGTACATTGGAACCAGTTGGAAAAGGCTCCCCCCGCAAGCATGAGACAATGTGAGCATCAAAACAAATACTGATGATAACAGATCATAACTCACTGACTGTGATATGAAAGCATGAGTTCATTATGATATACAACAATAAACAAATAGATGGGGAAAAGAAAAAGCTTTTCTTTAGATTTAATATGCCAACTAATAAATGTCAAAGGAATGATGCAATTTGAAAATCAACACTTGGCAATGATGTAGTAACAACTGTTTCAGGCAAGAATGATCAACAGATTTTAAAACTATGGAGTGAAATTTGGACAAGAGACAACAATTAGAGAATCTTGAAGAATACCACCCAAAGATACTCACTAATTAAAAAGAGGACAATAGTGATTTCACAGTGGAAAAACAAAGTCTGAGTGCTGTCATGTTAACCAAGTGATGAAGATGAATATTACTAGTTATGGGGCAAATCGACTGTGCCTCTCATTTCCACATAATAGAAAGAACATAGCAGTACTTCTGTGCTTCAC